TTTCTATATATTGTTTTATCTACAGTGTGGGAAATCCAAGCTCTTAAATGCATGTTTGCAGTTTGGCTGATTTCAAAAATCGCCAACAAGAGAATTCTTTTAAGTAGAATTTATTGTGGGCACTTTATAGATGATTACAAAATCATCCTTCCAGTTAGTTAGCAAACTAATTACAAAACATGTGAAACAAACTTTGTTCAAACTCAATTGTGTATGTTTTGTGAAGTCAGCCTTTTTGTAGACCCGCTGCTGGCTGCAGTGTTCCTGTCACTGCAGACACACACCAACCGCCTTTCGTTTGTTTGCATAGCCCCCGCAGAGCAACCCCATTTATTTCTGTAAACCTGGAACATCAAACAGGTACTTTTACCTATTGTGTACAGTCTGTTCCCTCTCTGGTGCTGACTGGAATGACAAATGGTTGAGTACATAAAGACTCCTTTGGCAGTAAGGGACCATGACTTCCTGCTAAGAGGCCATTAATTAAAAAATCTAAAGCGTGCTTGACTTTACTTTAATGTTTGTCTTCTATGTCATCTTTTTCTCACCACAGTTTATTTTTATCTGCTCATTTGCTTAGTAATTCTTTTTTATGTTACTACTGCCCCAGTTCCTTTGATTCCTATTTCAGGTACCACTCCTGTGGAAGTGTACGTAGTTACTTTACTGCCAATGCTCTCATTTGAGGATTTTAACAGGGTAGTTAGTGTTTTGAAGATTTTCCGGTAAATTTGGTTTGATGTCTTGATTGTTTTTTTTGTTTTTTTTGCCCTCTTTGTTAACCCACCCCAATATGTGCAGAGAGGAATGCTCCATCATTCATTCCCTTTTGTGCAACAAATACCTCCATATCCATCTGCCTATTTCTCTCTCTGTGATGACTGAAGCCTCACATTCCCAACAGAGGAGACCTGAGTGGCCCCCGAGCCTGTGTGCCATTACCACTGACCAGTAACCCATTACTATCTGCTCCTGATCTCTTGGCCTCCCTGAGAGTCAGCCAACAGCTCCACTGCAAAACAGGAGGGAGTGAAGGCTAAGGGCGAAGTGAGTGAGGAAGTAGAAAGGGTGGGAAAACAAGGGGGAACAGGGGACAGGTGGAAAGGTGAGGGGGCAACAGGGAGGGATGGAAAGAAGAAAAATGGAGGATGGGAAGGAAGAAAGCAAAAGATAAAAAGCGTGTGAGAAACAGTGAAGGAAGAAAACAGGGAGAGGCTGAACCAAAGATGGGAGGAGGGGGTGGATTGGCGAGAAGGAAATTGATGGAGAAAAGAAAAAGAAAGCAGGAGAAAAGGAAGAGCAGGAGAATGACGATAATGCTAGAGGAAAATAGATGGAGAAAGAAAGTCAGAAATCAGATGAGACAGGGAGGGAGATTCAGCCAAAGAGTCAGAAGGAGAGAGAGGAGATGCTATTTCAAGACCATACTTACTGATATTGTCACTCTACTTCAAAGAGCACAGCGTTCCTATCATGCTTCTGCATGACTGTACCTGCTGAGAATTTCCTCATAGATCAGATGATAAAAGGATGACAGCAGGGTGCACAGGGCTCCTACTCACTCTGTGTGGCACATTATGGGCTAAACTGTGACAAAATATACTGAGGGCTCTGCTCTAATTTGTCTTAATCAACACACAGCTGCTCACCAGAGGCCCCTGTGGGAGATTCATGAGTGCAATGAGACCAAGCACACCCCGTGGAGCAGGTACGATCCAGGTGCATAATGTATGGTTAACTATTAGTCATAATTTTTGTAATGAATTACCAGTACAGCATGACACAAATCAACGCAGCTGAGGGGGAAAAAGGTCAGAATAGGAAACACTGAAATAGCACTGTTTTTAGCACATTTCACAGGTAATTGGCTTCTATTTAAGTTGTTCAGTTTGACATATTTACAGGCATTTTATTTACTGTACATGTCTTGGCTCAGATGTAACTGAAATCATCAGTCATGCAGCCTTCAGGCATTACACTCATCACTGAAACCTTGACCAGCCAGGATTCCTGCAGTGTAATGAATCTAATGTCAGCTTGGAGAATGAATGACTAAATTAAATTATTTCAGGACACACAACACTTTGGGACTTAAAAAAAAAATACAGTGCATATTCTACTCTGACATTTTAAAACATTTCATTTGTGTGGAAAAACTAAAGCACGTTGTAGCTGTCAGTGAGTCTTCCGCTCTTCTCTAATTAATGCTGATATTGAATCTATTGCATCTGTTTACAACAGCACATATAACAACCTGTGATTATACATCCTCCCACTCTCACCCCCATTATTTGGTTTCTGATTCTATAAATGTGAGGGGATTCAATAATCTCCCATGGTTTGAATGAAAAGAAGAAATTTCACCAGAATCACAAAACATTTGACCATATGCCCCAGTTCACACTCAACAACACATCAGTAGATATTTAAAAGTAAAGAAAGAAAGAAATTTATACATGTGCACACTTTTGTGTATACAGAATTAGGTACTTATGGCAGACAACACACTGTAAAACCTATTATTTGTATGTTTTTAATATATATAAGCTAACATATAATAAGCTTTCTCAATAAGTGGTCCATATACAAAATGATTTAAATGTTTTGTGGAATGAAAGCTATTAAAGGACCAAGGTGCCAGTTATAATGGTGAAAAAGGCAAACTAGTATTATGCAGATGAATAACAAATGGCCATGTTAAGAAATAACTAAAAACAGAATACCAGCCTTGCTATATGGAAAGCATTCTTAATATAAGAAAAACCTGTATTTTCAAACCAGATTCTGTTAATATTAATTGCAAGTGAACATATACATATATCAAATATATATTTTTATTTTAATATATGTTTTAAATGTATTAAATCAGGCACTTAAATGTATGCATGTTAAGTCACTACTGTGGTAGAGTACGATGATGTTTGTGGAGCTTATGTCAACAATGATTAGTGGAAATCTGAAAATGTATCACAAATGCTTCAAAGGGTTTTATCTAATTAGTATCAAAGCCCACACAACCCTTGAAAATAAAGGTGATTTCTGTAAACATATTATGGTTGGCGAAAGTTATTAGGTTACAACAATCATGACAGTCCTTTGTCTCCTTCGCGGAAATCGGGGGTGAATATATTTTTACTCTTGTTATCTGTACTGTTCGTGACTTTTACTGTCCAGTAACAAAGGTCAAGATGTAACACACCAGCACGCATACCTTCATAAAATTAAACTCTCTCCTGCAGGAATACAGTGAGTGGGGGTGGACTCGAGTAGGTCAGTAATTCACTGATAGTTATGCTTGCTGTTTTATCAGTCATCAGTGAGTCCAAAAATATGGTCTGTGTGCTGCCAAACCAATATTCCCACTAAATTAATTAGCAAAGTTATTTCAACAACAACACTGTGGCTGTTTTCTCTACACTTCCTCTGACTGTCTGCCACGGTCTCCCAAGATGGTGTTAGATTGGATCAATGGCTGTTTATTATGTTTACAGAAAGCACAGATATTTTCCTAATGCTTTATAACATTTTTACTACTTCATAAACATTAATTAAAAATGGGTAGAGTGATTATGATCTTGTGACATATTATGGACATCCTTATCAGACTTCATGTTGGTAGTCACAAGGCATCCTCATGAATTATGAAGCCTTAACTAATTATGTGTTATGTAGGTTACATATAGGTTAAATGTAGATAAGGGATTTGGGGGGAAAAATTTATCTTACAAATGGGCTTGAACCTGTTGATTCAAGTCCCCTGGTGTTAAATATAATTGATATTTTAGTCAGGTAACTGAGATAAAGTATTACCTTTATTTAATTGTACAGTAGCTGAATGTTTGAGTTTTAGTCCCTCAGGAAAATAATGTCCCTCTTGTTTTATTGTCCTTTTTCTCAGGTCTCATGATAATTCACTGGATGAAGTGTCTCCGCTTCACATCCACCCCCCATGTGTTTCTACCCGTATGCCACTGCGTACTATGGCTTTTTATTCCTATGTGATGATGAAAAATGTTCGTGTAGGAATAGAAGCCGTTATACACATGGCGAGAGAGCAACACAACAGAAGTGAGAACCCCTTGCTGCCGGCTTGACAGAAACCAACATATGGCTGGATAAATGTAACTGTCGTCTGTTGAATGTTTCCCTGTAGTAAAGATACATTTATGCTCATCGTTCAGATGATGTGTGAGCTCACTGAAGTGCTGATCTGAAGAAGTCGGGCTTTGTTGTGTGTGCACCTGTTTTTGCCTCCAGGCACAAGCAGCTTCCACTGCTTCTAGTGCTTGATACGTGTGGTGACAGCAGCAGTCCGCAGCGATGGAAGCTGGAACATTTGCAAAACGTCAAGAACAAAAAAGCAGAAAGAGCGAGGAAAGACCAATACAGATCTTTAATAATGATAAAAGAGGCACTTAGTGAACCACTTTACAACTTGCAAGAGGCACTGCATTTCCCTTTCTTCTTACTCTTATACTTTTGCACATTATTAAAATAAAACTTTGACATGACGCATTACATCAAACATAATCTACCTACAATATTATACAATATGAGATACGTACAGTATAAACAAGATAAAGCACCTTTGTAGTCCCAGGAAATAATATTCATAATTAAACAGTTGGAGTAACAGGTACAGATTGAGTTTGTGATTTGTGTGTGGTATTATCAGTGCATGGGAAGAACTCTGAATACAGGTCTCAGGACTGTGATGTCCTTGTATGCGCCTGAGTTTATGCATTTGAAGCTTTCCTAATTTTGTGTTCTATCAGTCAACATATGAAGCACTTGGATGGCTTACACAGTATCTTTAATGCACTACAGACAACCAGTAAAAACTGTTGTATGAATGTACCATGACTGCTACAGATCTCATGTTCCCTTCAGAGGATATTGGCATTCACATTACAGTAAAACACAATGTAGCACCAGGTAATGTTTGTACAAAAGGCTAATATGATGAATGTCAATGCAGTACAGTAAGGTAAAAAAAAAAACAAAAACCCAAAATGAATATGTTGAAAGCTTGTACAAAAGGTGCACTGACAATAGTCCAGGTCAGTTCTGACGTCTTTTGGTCCTTTTGCAGAAAGACATAAAATGATAAAATCATGTTATCAATGCAAAACAAGCACGCATTTCTTAGATCATATTTGGCTGTATTTTCAAGTATTCTTTCTTTCTTTCCCTTAAGTAAATGCAATATCATCTCTGAAACAGATAATATCTAACAAAGGAAAAGCAGAAAAAATTTTCAACAATTTTTGCATGTTCATTTTTGACCCAAAATTCATATCTGCCATTCTTCCTCACATTTGTTTGATAAAACACATGAACAAAGAAGACATAAAGTGACTATGTAAGTATTTAAAGATAGCATTTCACATAAAAGAGCTGTGCAATCTCATTCACCATAATTTCTTTCTTAAACAGACATTTATAACTGTGAAATTTACACTCTCTTATTCACAGGTCCCTCAATCCCCGCTCAGTTTATAGATTCAGATGTGTCCTTCCTCAAAGGAATCTTAAAGCTAGTGAGTTTTTGGCCAAACAGCTGACTTAGGAGATGGTTCTGGGACTCTGCTGTCCGGTAGGAATGGCTTTCCATTGACCTAACCCCTATCTTTGGCCTAGATTTATTCAAAGAATTGCTCATGGGAACTGAAGACACTTTAGAAATAGGGGCATGCAGAGGCCGCCCCAGAGGTCCCTTTTTGACTTTATAATCCCCGTTAAGGGGATTAACAATATCAGCTTTCTTTGGAGTACAGCTATCAAGCAAACCTTTTTTTGACTGCAAACCCAAGTTTGAAGTCTTGCACTTGGAAACTATTTTGTTGCTCACAACGTCGTCTCGTACTGAGGACAGCACAGCGTAGTCGTTGGGTCCATCAGATTTTCTTTGTAGAGAGGGATTTGCACACTTGCTTGGGCGAAATTTCTTTTTCACCCTAGAGTCAAAGTTCTCTTGTGTGACTGGAGGGGGAATCCTTTGCAGGCTGTGGGTGGATTTCATGTCTTTCCTCTTCTTCTGTGGTTTCAGAGACTCTTTGTCCTCATTTGAGACTGAAGCACTGAGGACAACCTTGGAGTGGAGGACTGCTGTTGATTCTGTGGTAGTAGTGCTGTTCTTGGTGCTGTCAGTTGTTTTGGCTGGGGAAACCTTGTCCTTCATTGGTCTGCTACCTTCCTGCTCAGCGCTTTGAGATAAGGTTTGCTGTTTGCCATTGTTATTGGAAGCTTTTGGCGTGTGATGCCACTGCTCATCATCCATCTGCTGGTCTGTCACATTAGGAGCTGATTCGGGTGTCTTTGAAATGATTTGATTTTCTCTTATGCCGACAAAACAGTCCTCAGTAGGTGGAAGTAAGTCTGCTTTTTCTTTAGTCTCAACTGTGTCACCTCCAGCGAAGCCTTCCTTAACTTTAATAATCTCCTCCTCCACGCTGCTGCTCTCGTTCGATGCTGACCATGAGGTTGTCTCTGCTCTAATGCAGACTAACACATCCTCCTCTTTCACGTCACATGGTTCGATAATTGATTTTCCATTACCCTCTTCATCAGGATTAGGTGAGGGACTTTGGTCAATTTCCTCTTTCTTGGGTGCAGCAGACTCTGAGTCCATATGAATGCATTTCTCCAGCTCTACGAATAGCTCAGAGCAGTCCTCAGCCATGTCCTCAGTTTTCACATTTGTATTGCTTGTGTCACTGTGATATTCATTTGCAATGGTCTGTGTGAAGTCATCTGCTGTGGACGCTGAGGGTTTTGTATACTGTGTTTCAGGGGTTTGACTTAGGTGCAATGAGCCTACACTAGCAATGCCACTGTCTGAGCTGTTTTCTTGCAGACTGTCAGAGAGGGTTCTTCTCTTCTTGCTTGCAGGCAAATCACATTCATCTTCTTTGGACACAGATGTTTTGACAGGTCTGAGAACACCTCGGAATTTGAAAATTTTGTTCCCCCCTGACAGGTGCTTTTCCATATGACGATCAAATTGCTCCTTCTTAGAAAAGGTATAGTTACAGGTGCTGCAGATGAAAGATTTTTTAATCACATGCATGACATCAGCACAGAGTTCGCATGTGTAAAGGGTAGTGTGTTTTGAATCTGGCTCGTCCACCTCCTCATGCGCCCTCTTCAGGTGGTCTTTAAGCGCCTGGGGTTCTTGATAAGAGACAGGGCATTTGTGACACAGGAAAATTTTTTCCAAGTTGTGGACCACTAAATGTCTCTGGAGTTTGAATGGTTTGGGGAATTGTTTCCCACAGTGGTGGCAATCTCTCGAGGGGTCTTTGCAGTTGGGATGCATCTCAACACTTCTAGGTGTCTCTGTTTTGTGGAGGACCTCAAGCGGAGTTAATGTGCTCTGCTTCCCACCTGCTCCACTGATGTGTTTAGTTTTGTGAACTTTTGGCTCAGCCCCCTCTGAGGTTTTCCCCTCTCCCACAGCGCTGTCTGCAGCAACAGTTTTTTCCTGTTCTTTAAGGACTTTGCTGACCTCTCTGTTGGCTTTGCTGGGGCGGTGCTGCATTATTGAGGTGATAAAGTTCTTCACAGCTGTCTCCTGCATGAAGCAGCCTGGAATGTCTAACATGGAGCCTTGAGTCTGACCTCTCCGGGCAAACTGAGTGGCGTGCTCTCGTAAATGTTCATTGTACATCCACACGTCCGATATCTCCTTCAAGCACATTCCACAGGTCCAGATACCTGTCTTGTTTTTGGCATGTTTCTCTCTCAGATGGTCTCTCAGTTGCTCCCTGGAGCTGAATTTGCGCTGGACACACATGTAGCAGGTTGGAGGTGGAGAGGGGTTGTGCGATAACTTGTGAAAGTTCAGTTCACCTAGGGTGAGGAACCAAGTGAAGCACACTTTGCACTTGTACTGCTTATCTTTGACCTTCATTCCACCATCTTGCCATTTCCTGCCCCGCCGCTCTGTTACTTTCTTGGATTTTTCATCATCTCTGTTCTCCACCTCAGCAGCTGCAACAGGAGGAGCCACTGAGATATCTTTATTGGCATCAAAGAACTGTATGTCAGGAAGTTGAAATGTGGTGTTGATGTTTTGCATGTCTATACTGTGGAAGGTTTGGACATTCTCTGCGACACATGGCTCCACAGGATATGGGGCGGCAGACAGAGGCAGAGGGCAAGGTGCGGTTGGCACTTCTGGCTTACGGGTGCTGGTGTCAGGGGTCACCGTCAAGCACGTGTCAAAGCCAGTGAAGTCACCGGAGCCACTCCATTCAATTAAGGATTTATCGATGGTGCTCTCAAGTGAATTCAAGAGGTTGTTGCTCAGCTCTTTAACATTCTCATGAACATCCTCCTGATCACTTTGTTTAACATCTGACATTGACTTGGCATTAGCAGTCAGTGTGCTGTTGTGGCACATATTCAACATGATGGCATCATCAATAGATATTGTCTCATATTCACAGTGGTTAGTCTGATTGTCAGTGAATGTCTGCTCTGATTGCTTTTCCACAAACTGATCTTTATTTTTCACGAAGGCCTCTGCAGGAGTGTAATCCTGAGTCACATGCAAGTCAGGTGATAGCTTCTGCCTTTTGTTTCTTTTGCTGTACACCCTTGGGCACTTTTTCCTTTTTGCCTCATCATCTCTGGGGAACAGCTGTGAGAATGTGGTGTCATCATCAAGTAAGGCCTTCAGATCGGGTCTTACGCTGGGAGGGCTGAGAGGGGAAGAGTTCAAACAGGAGAGAGAATGTACCCTGTCTGATGGGCTGCAGTTTTCCTCACATTTTATCTCAGCTGACACTTTTCTTACAATCTCCTGAGCAAGATTCTCTTCTGGTCCTTTTTTTTCATGCATCTCTTCCACAGTGCACAGAGTCTTGAGTCTGGAGTCGTCACATTCTTTGATTATATCCTTGTCTACAGATGTAGCACTTTTCTCATAATTATCTGTAGATTCTTCCCTGTTTGCCATTTCTGTCTTGCTTTTACATTTAATTTCCTCCACGCTTATGATTTGACTTAGCTCAACGGTTTCGTTAAGTACATTCGTCTCTTTTGCTTGAGGCTGGGGTGTTTTGTCAAAGCCAAAGTCTGAAGTAACAGGGTGAGGGAATTCCTCTGTTTCAGTAACAGTTCTGTCACTGATGTTCACCTGCTCCTCGGTAGATTTGTGGTGCCCTTGTAATCCACTGCTTTTGAACTCAGGAGTTATGGCTTGAAGAATATCCGTTTTTAATATATTTAGAATCTCATCAGAGAAAGGGTCAGGCTTTGTGTTTACCTCACTGTTTTTGTTCTTTCTAGCTTTGTTGTTCTTCTTTGCTTTTGTTGGCAGCAGGGGGCTTTGATGGCCTATTTCATCGACTGCCACCATGCTTGTCTCAGTTACCATCTTCTCCAGGACTGACTCAGTCTCTGCTGCTTTAGATATGAGAGTGCTACTTGTCTCAGGCAGCCTATCAATTTTTCTTGGATAACAGGTCTGTGAATCATCTTTATGTTCTTTCTCTGTAGTTTGTGATGCTTCATAAATAAGCATAGTCTCCTGATGGTCTGAAGTTGTGTTCTGCGGGCCAATGAGTTTTTCAGTCCTGACCAAATGTTTCATGGCCTTGTGTCTCTTTAACCCTGGCACAGTCCTGAAACACATTAAGCAGATTTCACAGAGCACTTTTCCCTGTTGAGCATTGCTCTGTGTCCTTTTTTGTAATATTTCTTTGTGTATCTGGTGCGTTGTTGAACACTGGCCAGTCTCTATTGTTGGTTGCTTCTCTGATCGGTCGGATGGAAGAGGCATTTGTTCATCTTCACAGATGACAAGTGGCTTAGGAGTGGGCGGACCATCTGAAATGTCTTTTCTAAGAAGTGTACTGTCATCAGCAAGAGCATCTTGAGAGGTTAAATCCACTGATTCAACCTTCTTCTTGAGGTCTGTATGAATATCCAAATGCTCAGTAGGTTCAATTAGATCATGGCTAATCTCCAAGTCTTTCTTTGTATTGGAAGCTGAGGAATTTGTGCTTTTGATATTCACTGGGAGGCCCAATGAAAAACATATTAATTTCATACTCTGCTGGAGGACCAGCGATTCATCTGGTAAATTCAGGCTAGCTGTAGGGCTTGAGTTCAACAACACCACTGTGTCTGTTTCACTTTTGTTGAACATCAGTGCAGGGTTAACACTCAGGTCACATGGTTCACAGTCATCTCTGGGACTCTGCTTGATATCTGGATTCTCTTCAGGTTTACTGGCTGGTGAAACTGGTATGTAGTCATATTCATTCACCTGTGGAGTTTCATCTGAGATGCTGTCGTAGTTCAGAGGGCTGAGCTTGAAATCGTACATTGGATCTTTCTTTTCAAGGCACTCTGATATCTCTGGTGGCTCTGCTGTGCTGGTCACAGGAACTGGAGAATGAACAGTGGCATTAGAGCTCGGGATTTTACACTCTGTGATGCCCAAGCCCAGGTGAGGTGGGCTTATCAAAGAATACTCCACTGTAGCTGTTGTGTTCAATTGCTTATCGCTGTTTAGAGCCTCTCCGACACTTTGCTCATCATCTTTATTTACGGGGGATTTCACATTTTGAACTGAGCCTTGATCTATAGACGTATTACTACATTTGCTTTGTGACTCACACGAATCATCTTTTAGGTCCAGTTTCCGTATGGGTGTTTGAGGAGACGTTGATACAAGAGGACTGGTTGGTGGGGCAGTGTGTAGAAAAAAGCAATGACTTTCTTCCACCTCCTCTCTTGCTGGTGAGTTTTGGTGACTTGCCATAAAATCAACTGGAAGATGTTCTTTGATGTCTCGAACATTTAAAATTTCCTCTTGTTTCTGAGTGGTGTCAAAGGTAAGAGCTGTTTCCGGTTTCAAAGAGTCACTGAATGGAGTAATTTTGCAAGATTCATTGTCAATGATGACATCGGACTGTGTCAGAATCAGCAGATTGCTCTGTCCTGCTATGGACTGTGGGTCTCCAAAGGGTGAGCAGTGACTAGTAATCTCTGTGCTGGTCTCCACTAGTATTGGACTGCAGGGCTTGTCTGTGGTGACTATCTCCACTGACATATCGGTTGCCGGACTTGTACAGTAAATCTTAGCAGGGCTACAGTCAGTCAGAGAAAGTCCCGTCAAATGATCTTGTTTTGCTGTTTCAATGAAATCTGAGTGCTCCGCTTTCAGTTCACCGGCATGTGATGAACTAATGTCTCCAGGATTCCTGTGGTTGTTAGTGGTTTGTTCTTGCAGTGCTGTTTTCATCACATCTGCCATTTTCTCACCAATGTCCAGACCGGGGTCAGGTAGAGCTGGTGAAGAAGGATGGCTGCCAGGCTGACCGGTGATTTCCTTCGCTGCCTCTGCTTCCTTTGTGTAGTTGCTTTGTGTAGTTGAATGTTCTTGGCTTTCACTGTCATTTTTGAACACCTGATTCCCATTATCTTCGGCACTATTGTTCACACAGGACTCCTCAGCTATATGTGGGTCATGTGTCACTACACTTGGACAGTGAGCAGACTCAATCAAATTACTATTCTCAGTGACATTCTCCTCTTGTGTGTCTGTATTCTCAGCCATGCTATTATTGTTTTCTAAGGGCTCACTTTGTTGCAGTGAAATTGCCTGGCTTCCATCGACTGTGGGGTCAGTGCTGTTAGAGAGAGATGACTGTGACTCATTCAAAATGAATGCAATATCATCCTTCCGCTCATTGATATTTGAAGTTGATAATATATTCTCCTTCCCAGTAACTGCTTCCTTCTTACTGTAATCTTCTCTCCCAACTGCATCAACTGCCTGACATTCAATTTCTTGATGTTGTTGACTCGTGAGAGAAGTGACATTCGGCTCCTTGTATTCTGATATAATGGATTCTTTTTTGAATATAGAGTCTGAAATCACTTCCAGGCTTTTCATGAGGTTTTCTGTATATCTCTTCTGTTCTAAAACATCTTCCTTTGTTTCTAATGGAGTCTCTTTTTTAGCATTTCTCTCCAATTTTTGGCCATGGTGGAGTTGTGTGTGTTCAATATGTGAAGTTGTAGCAATCAAGTTTGGTGTATCGCCCTCTTTTTCAGTGAAATGTTCAAGTCCCCCTGGTTCATTGTGAGTTGGAATGTGGGGACTGTGGTGTCCACCCATTATCTCAAATTGGATCGGGCTGGACCATGAGAGTCCTGGCTCAGTGAAAGGCTCTGAAGGGATTCTGGTCACTGGTATATCCATTGTTTGCACAGGGCACCTCGTACCCAGACTGATGCCTTCATTCTCTGAATCATCACCCAGACGTAAAGGAGAAAATTTGCTGATTTGCAGCTGCTTGGGGACATCCTGGGCTAGTACTGGTGGGCTTTCCAACTTAGTTGTCTGCAGCTGGTTTTCAAGCTCATTCACTATTCTCTTTATCTCTAGCTCATCCTCTGATGCACAGCTGTTAAGATTTGCAGAATAATCAATTATTTTTTCTGGCAGAGACAAAGGAATGTGATTGTAATCTGATTTCTTTTCATCTCTTTTCTCAGAGTTGCCTTTGTACTGAGATATCTCATCTGGTAGCACTGGGCTAACTATAAGGTTCCACTCTCTTTGTTCCAGAAAAGGAGAGAAAGATGACACAAGTTCTTCTTTTTTATCAGCTGTGTTCTCTATCGAATGGAAACCTTCTTTCTGAACTGGCATATCTGAATAAATTCCACTGTCAAATGCTGTCAGGTCGCCGAACATTGATGAGGTATCAAATGAAAGGGGGGATTTCATAAGCCCCTGTTCCTGATCCAGAGGGTAGGGCATGAGGTGGAGCGTGTCTTTTTGTATCAAAGGATCTTGGCTTTCAGTTGTAGAAAGGCACACCTCATCTATCAAAGAGGCACAAAGTGATGCAGGCTTGTGTGTGTCCAGGTCACTGACTAAAGTAATAGCCTCTTTCACTGTGCAGACGCTGTCAGTCTGTTTTTCAAATGTAGTACTGTCTGATAGCTCTGGTTGTGTGGCCTGGGGCCCCTCTCTTCCTTTGCCTTTTGCATTCCTGTCAATATTGAAATCAGTTATTTTGTTGATGCTGGGGGTGTCTAAATCAAACTTTAGCAGCTGATTGTCTGTAGTGCCGCACTGTGTCGGTTCTTCTTTGAGGCACAGATTGCTGGTTCTCTGTAGGGTGCTTCTGTCTGCACTGACTATCGTGCCAGTTTCTTTTCTGTGAGACACCTGCTTCTTTCTGCTTCTTTCTTGATTTTTCTTGATGAGGTTTTTCATTGTGTCTTTGGCTTTTTGTGAGGATGACACTGGATCTGTAACTTCTGGATATGAGTGATATTTTTTTGGATTTTCTGTACTGTCCTTGCTATCATAAAGGATGGCATTGTCAGTATTATTCTTCTTGACAGATTTAGTGAATGTCAGTGCTAGTGTGCTGGACTCTTTACATAACTTCTGTGGGGAGGACCTTTCATGGGTTTTCTGCTCTGGAGACTCTTTCTTTATCATGTCTGTCTTCTTCTCACAATCTGAATCAATATGGTCAGTGCTTTTGGGACTGTTGATACTATCACTCGAAACACTCACAGGTGTGCTGAGTTCACTGCTTGTGGATGACCTGTTACCCCTTCTCTTGAGTCTCTGGTGAGAACCGTGCTTTTCAGGCAAGAGAGAAACTTCCTCGCTTTTTTTCACCTCAAAACACTCCTTTGACTCATGCCTCCACGCTGCCTGGTCCCTCTCACTCCTAGCTCGCCATTTGCACTCTTTAGTGTATGTGTATTTACACCGACTGCTTTGATTTAGTCGACCTTGGCTTGCTATCTTCACAGCCTCACATTCATCATCTGAGTCCGAGACATAATCATATTCTCCAAACGCAGGGTTCTGTACAGTGGGAGTCAGTCTCTCCATCACTAAGGAAAACTGGAGGTTCTTGGTACCTTTCACATGGAGCTTATGGAGTTTATTTTTCTGCTGAACTATTTTATGAATGAGTTCTTTGCTCCAGGTGCCTCCTCCAGTGCTTTTCCTCTTGCACTCTTTCACTGCAGTTCTTGAAGTTGGAGATGTAGAGGCCTGTGAGGGTAGTGACCCTCGAAGTGCTGAGCTGTCCTGAAAGCTTTTAACACCACAACGCTCAGAAAACTTGCTGGATAAGAGAAACCTTTGTGTGCTTGTGTTTTCATCTTCATTCTTACACAGTTTTTTTGCTTCTTTCACTTTGCTCTCTTGCTCCCTTGTCTTCTCCCTTGAAGTGATTCTTGAATTTTTGCGAGAGACTTCTTTTTTTATGTTAATTTTCTTGTCTTGTTCCAAGTTTAGAGATATTTTCTCTAGTTTGCTTTTGGTGTGCTGTTTATCTGTCACAGGGCTCTCAATATCTGAGTCATAGAAACCCTTGTTCTGTGTGAAGGACTTGTCATCGTCTCCTTCTTTGTTCTTGCTCTCAAAGACCAGGGATTCTTTGGTTTTCAGACACTGTTTGTTTGATGTAGCTTTGACAGTGGTGAGGTCATCATCAGCAAATGCATCAATAAAGCTGCTGTCTATCTCTCCATTGTCTGACTGATAGCCCAGCCCATTTAAGGCTTCTGTGATTAGGCTGTCTAATTTGGCATCCTCCATTTCCAACTCAGGGAGAGGAACAGGGAGGTTACCAGAGCCAGAAAACAAGCTGAGTTTCATGGGATCATCTTTACTGTCTCCTTTTGTTTCACAGTCAGATATCAGCTCTCCATTTTTATTGAGGCCCAACAAAGTTAAGTGAAGGTCAGATGGGCACCTAGACATTGAAACATTGGATACAGACGGCACTGCTTTTGCTGGTTCTGCGTGAAATTTTCTGCTGTCCTCCATCTTTGATATGTCTTTGAGGTCATTTTGTGAAAATGTGTGTTGAGTACAGTATTGCTTATGGCCTAGAAATGAAACCAGGTTACTGAAATTCTGATCACACTGCTTGCATGTCAAAAGCATGTCTAACTGGTCAAGATAAGATGTGGCTAACAACTGATGGGCAGAGTATGATGGTGGAGGCTGGTGATGCTCCACCCCAAAGCTGTCCATGTAATCTTTGTTTCCATCCATAGCTGTCTTTGGATGTGTGCTGTTTTGCAGGTAGCTAATCATGTCATCTTTGACTTTGTCTGGTGCATAAGTAAGGTGTCGTGAAGCATCAGAATGAAACTGGTGAGGATGAGAGCTCAGGTGATCTGAAGGTAACTGATTTTTGGGTTGGAGCTGGTGAAAAAATGTGTTAGGGGGTGTTGACTTTGACACTTGACTGTCCTCTGAACTGATGTTAACAGGGCTGGTGGATGATGGGGAGAGAGAAGAGCAGGTGCTACTAGATGGGGGATTATGAACTGGGGAGGGTAAAGGGGATTCGTAAGGTGACACCATCATGAGTCCCATAGGTGGGACCTGTAATGGTGGATAGCTGTAGTTTTTTGTTGGTGCTGGAAGAGACTGGTTGAGTCCAAAGTATACTGCCTTATTTTTGTGGTTCATATCTACTTTAAAAGTTGAGACTGTGTTATTGCTATGTTTTGCAGTCTCTTGTCTTTGGTTTGAAAACCCATCACTAGTTCTGCTGTTCTGAAATAAGCTGGAGTTTTTCATTGAACTGTGTTTATGTGATTTACTATCATCCTGCCAGTCAGAGGGGGAAACCATGTAAGCCAATTTTTGGCTGCTTACCTGCCGAGATAACTCGATTCTGTTTTGGTTTGGCACAGTTGGCCGTATCTGCTGCCAGGGCATTCTGCTATTCTTTGATGAATTTGGCCGTTGGTCAAGTGCTGGCTGGTTCTGAAACTGAAACCTATCATTCATGTCAGTATACTGAATTGTATTTTGATCACCTGGTGAATATGTTTTATTTGGACCCTCCCAGGAGTGTGGTAACCTATTTAGAACCTTATTATTAAAGTTTTTGTCAAAAGGTATTGAGACTGTGTGTATGTTACTGACTGGAGGGCTGTTAAACGTTTTACTTGTAAAGTGCACTTGGGAGCCTGGACTCTGGGAAATAGTTCTTGCATTGTGCACACTTCCTTGTATGAGTGTTCTTTGGTTGGAATCTGTGTCTTTGGTGTGACAGTTAGACCCCGAGGTGATGGCTGCATCCCTATTGTCTGCCTGTCCAGTAGTGTCTGTGCTTTCAGGCAAGGCACTTCTTCCCTGCTCTGACTGTTGTGAGCTGGAGGCAGAGCTGTCACTGCTGGCTGAGTCCTCACTCAGATTCCTAGGACACTGGATGGAGGATGCTACTCCTTGAATAAACGGTGACTGTGGGGGGTGAGGATAAGAGCTTCTATCCTCTGGTTGCTGCTCATTATTAAACTGAGTGCTGTTCTGACTGATGCTTTGCCCTTCACCTGGGGTAAAGGAAAAGGAGCTGTGGGTCACATGAACAGAATTTAGGGTAGAGTCTGTAAAGTCTTGGGATTGGGGGTTCTGTTCACAGGGAAAAGAGTCAGAGGTTGATTCTTCCAGAAAATGATATCCATGTTGAACGGGAACAGACACAAAGGCCTTATTGGGTTCTGCAAGGGAAGTGGATTTTTGTGATGAAACCCCATAGTTAGCACCATTAAAAGTCCTTTCAGGAGACTGCCATGCATTAGAACCACTCAGCTGAAAGTCAGCCAGGATCAGCTGGCTGCCAGGCTGGGTACTATTGTTTTCCATTGAGGCAGGCTGCTGCTGTGACAGGGGTGGATGTGGATGGGCTGACGTTCCACTGGAGGAACCCAGTGCCTGTGAGGTATAACTTGAGGAGGTAAGGTTAGAGGAAGCCTCCTGGAAGCAGTGGCTGTAGGTGAGCTCTTCCTGCTGTAGCTCAGCCTCTCTCTCTGGTATGCTGGGAACGTGGAATCTGTAGCTGCCCAAGACTGGGCCACAACTGGTCTCCAGCTTCTTGGGTGGCGAAACCTTCTGCTGTGGGTAGGCAATACCAATGGTGGGGTTGGAGCGTGAATTTGTGATGCTAAGTCTGTACAGCTGCTGCGGGTTGCCACGCTCTGTCTTTGCTGACCGCTTCCCCTTCTCTCGGCTGCGGCCCTTTCCACTCGGGGACTGGGGGCTGCCTTTGCCACTTGACCAAGTCCTGTTAGTGGGAAATTTTGAACTATTCTGCAGTGATCTAAAGTCAATCCTCCCTGTCTGCTGTGGCCGAATGACAGCCTCACGCTGCTGTGGACAGTCTCTTTGTTTCTCTAGCTTGTCAACTTTGGCCCCTCTGTTGCTGGCTCTGGCCCCAGTGCCTGTGCTTGAAAAGTGCTCTGAAGACTCCTGTGTGGTTTTGTCACTCTGCTGTTCCAGCTCCGTCCCCTCATCCTGCAGTTTGGACTCAGTGTCCAGCTCTTTGACAGCATGCATTCGCTGAGTCTCTCCTGCCATGGTGCACAATGCGTGCTGTAAAGGCCTGGTCCTCAGAAGTGCTATCTGGGAGACAGGGGCATCTCTTCTGGGTTGTATGAATTAATAAACATCCAGTGGCAGGAACTGCAGGGACAGGGCTGCTTGCGGCAGGCTCATCTCTTCACCCTCATTGTGAACCACTGATCTGGCACCAGAGCAAAGACTTGGAAGGAAAAGAGAATAGACAGGATCAGATGACAAGCTTTTACTAACTAAAATGTAAATAATGCAATGTAAATGATACTATCACGTGCCTTTTCAAATAAAACCTGGCAACACTGTTCAAACATACAAAAAGAATTATGAATTTCTACATTAATACAAAAAAAAAACAACATTCATTCTTTATTCCAAGTATTAGTATGGAAATGTATAGGAATGTGAGGAACGTCTACAACACAGGTAAAGTTATTAAAAGATATGTTCTTACACAATTAGTTTATAACATGCATTTTAAATAAACATTCAAACATCCAGGAGATCCATTAATGTTCAACACATACAGCATAAAAGTAAAGTTATTCCAAAAAAAGGACAAAGGCATGGTGACAGTTTTCTTAAGCTTTCGGTTTTATTTTAAAACCATCTTCAGGAGCAGGCAAGAATGAAGCAATGGCAACTAATAAATACCAGGTGTGCCAGCTCATAGAACAGGTACATTAATCAGGCTGGTGATGTCACAGTCAAACATCCACTTTCATGTGAAAAATTAAGTAAAATGACTATATTCCCAGTTTCTGCCAGCAGAGAGCACCAGTGCAACATTACTCAGCAATGCTGTCATTACACAAGGAACCAGTGTAATCAATAAGGACATTTTCAGAATAATGCCAAACTTTTACTCCAACTGTCGAGGACACTGCTAAGACTTGAATTCTTTGTTCTTGACAACAATAAAAAATACACTTCAAACAAATTAATACAGCTTAATCAAAGTGTTGGACTTTGGCTTTAAAGGTGTACAGTAAACTGATGGCAAGTGTCACAGTCTGTATAAACATGCAAAGAACCTAGTTTGGTCTTGAAATGATGACGCTCACTACAGTATTGAGAAATGAGAAAATACAATATATGGATGCAAAAATCACTGCCAGCAGATGTATTACTGGCTCCTTACACAATGCCACAGTATTCTATTGCTGCAGAGAGCTGCAGGTTTAGATCATGGAGGAATATCAGGGATTAGTCAGTCGGTCATTAGTGAGAACTATGGGCACACTGACGTTTATTGCCTTTCCTCAGGATTCCCAGACACTACATCTCAGGCTCCGGTTTACTTTGGCCATCCACTGCTCCTGCTTCTTTTGAGGCCAGACAGAATGACACTTGGAGTTAGCACCAAAATATAATTTGTAGGCTTGGTAACCAAACATCCATCCCACATTCTGGTCAGTTTACCTGGCTAATGTCATTGTTTGGGGGTTGGCCTGTGGTGGAAAAGACCACCATTTAGTTGGAGGATTTGGGTTAAACCTTTGTTTTGACTACCATCTGTCATGTTGAAACATCTTGGAGCAAAACACATTTCTTTAAGGGTGCTCCTGCAGTTTCCTTAGGGAGGGTTTTAACCTGGGAGTAGTGAGTGAAATCTGTCCAGTGAAATTTCAGTATGACTGTAGGAAAATGTGGCATGTGAGCGCTATTGCACTGGGATGGATGTGACTGCCAAGCAGGCTGTCAACACACAAATACTGCATGATACAGTGCAGCACAGCACCATCCTCACCGATTTCTCAGGAGACTCTTGGCGTCATTTTAAAATCAGCACCTGATTATGTTTTGATCCTAAATTCCGAAATGACAAGCTATTATTCCAGGAATTTACCCTGTATTACTTGGCTTAATGCATTGATTTAGTTATATAAAAACCTCTGTTACTTCACAATCAGTGATATGAAATAAGTGGATATCATTAAGCAGGATAACAATCCAAAACATATGGTCAAATGAACCAAAAGGCTTTTCAGGATAAAAAGTTGAAACTGGTTGAGTCAGTCACCATTATATACAAAAATATTTCAGCTAAGTGCTGTTAGCTCTGTTGTAAACGCATACACAGAATTGGTACACATTGATTTATTGTGCAACACACCTAACTTCATTCAAATGATCAGCACTATTGCAGCTTGAATTTAAACATGAATCCCTTTTACTGGGATCCTATTTGGTTATCCAAGTGTTGAGGTTATGATAAGACTGTTTGACATAATATTAACTCTGAATATCAGGAAGATGATGACAGACTGCACACAAAAGAATTCTTTGTGAACCCTGGCAAAATAACCAAGCTACACACAATCATGATGAAACATAAATGTAATCATTTATACAATTAACCGGACAGCATTTCTAAAGGACAGTGTCTCACTAGCAAATTAATAGTTTAAGTCTAGAAAATGCATGGTGTGTTGACTTCTTAACAGTATAAATGAGGACCCATAGCTCCAGAGGAGTGAAGTGAAGAGGCTCTGGGGCCTCCTTTTGTTAACATGCAGTCCCAAAGGGTAAATATATTCAGTCTATAACGCCAAGGTCTTCTCATAGGGATAGAGAGGTGCAGAAATAAAACAAGACAGCTTGGCCTACAGTATTGTCTCTTGAAGGTTAAGTATACTTCGACAGACCAATAGCCGGAGTGTCCAGATACCATATGACAAATGGAATAGTGAAATATGACAATCACTTCAACTCCTGCTCTCTGCCATGTGCTTCCTTGTCTCATCCTCTGGTAAAATTCCCAGAGGTATTTAGCAGGTTGAGAAGGAGGCTTGAGGCTGAACCCTGGCTGGGTTTAGGTCTGGTTGTGAAAAATCACATCCACTCTACAGCTCCACAGAATCTAAAAGCCAGAGTGTCTGCAGCTATCTCTGCCACCGGTTAGGAAAACTTGTATGAATGGGTCTGCCAGCATTTCCACCAGGCAATGCTTGATCCAGCTCTGCAGAGTCAACAGTCACAGTCATATATCATAGCCTCAATTATATTTGCCCAACCCAGGAGTTGAGGTTTGGGGTTGAGATGAATGCTTCCAGCAACAAAAAGGGCAGTATGAGGATCACAGGGGCCTTACAGAAGTAGCACCAACGCCCGAACTGTTAGTTTACAAAGAGTAAAGAAATAGCGTCATTTGTATTTTAACAAATCTCTTGTCCACTTCCCCTCCAGCCCTGCACAGCTCAGGAACTCTTTGTTTGCACCAGTCTCCTCCAAAAAGACAGAATGAGTCTACTTCACATGCAGACTTTACATATACCAGTCTGCCATTTTGGCATTTTACAAGTCAGATAAGTCTGTGAGTGTTTGTTAGGCCTCCTGTCAAATTACCAAGTTTCTCAAACAGTGGTGCCCCATATGGCTTCACCACAACACCACCCTGATACTGAAGACCGCTGAGCACGTTTGTGGTAAAGGGGCATGTGTGTTTTTGTGTGTGAAAGTACATAATTAGAACAAAACTGAAAAAAAAAACCTAAGCTTTTTTCCTTACTTCTGAAAGGCCATGATTTCTCTCAGCGATGAGGGAGTGGGCAAAAGGTGCGCGAATGAAAACTCAGTTTCCTGAAACTCTTTTTCCTGTCATTTTGGTGCAGGACGTATGTGGTGTTGGTTTGAGTAAAAATACACTGGTACACTGAAAATCTCTGTCAACTCATCACATCAGTTCCATAAGTCCATAACTGCTGTGGCAATTTCTAGTTTGCAAGAAGCCAAAGACCCCAATAAGGCAGTCAGTGAACGTAAAGGGCTACAGGCTCAGTTCTTCTGTTCATGTATGTTCTGTAACAGTAGAACATTCAAAGGTGGTAAAAAAATAAAAAATAAAATAAAAAATAACTGACCGTTACTAAGACAGGTAATTGGAACAGAGCAGCAAGCTAACATTCGCACACAATACCACACAAAACTGTTAGATACCAAAGACAATGACAATCCAGATACACAAAGCATTATTAGATCAAAAAGAAGGGCAGCTGCCGGTCAAGTAATCCACTTCTACAAACAATCGTGCCTTTTATAATCATGTAAATCAATAACTGGCATTAGCAGGAATTTCTCAACTTGTACAGCTTTTCCAGATGCTTGCTCGCTAAAATATCAACACACAGTAGCCTCAAAGACCACTGAGGCAGAGAAGACAGATGAAGAAGGGTGATGAGATCAGAGATGGAGAAGAGCAGAGGAGAAGGAAAAATAAGCTTGGAAAGGCCATTAAAGAGTGGGAAAAATCATACAAAAGGATGAGTGTCAGGAAGTGAAGGGGAGGGGGTGGTGGATATTTGGCATGTCCAGTAGCCTGTGTAAATGGAGCAATGTACTGGGGAGCAGAATAAAAGCTATCTGACTGCTCTCCTTGCACCTCTCCCAGCACGACTAATTCAGCAAAGAGAATACTCAGTGAAAATGATTGGCTCAGGGCCCTTTCTGGGGCATGCCGCCAAAACCTTGGTCAGAGTGCCTGCCTACTCTGCTGTATTTTTGGAAACATCCATTATGCAAGCAATTTGCCTTTAAGATCTTTCTGCCCATTCATCTGCAGACCAGGAGAAGGGATATGTCATCAATGTGAAGAGAGCCCAGCGTGCTTTCACAGCTATGTACAGAAGCTCTGGATGTCGATGTGTGAACAACAGTGGTTTGTTAGCAGTTCACAAACTTAATTTTTCAATTTATGTTTTAAAAAAATAATTAGTAAGTCATCTGTCTTCCTCCAAGCTGGTGTTTTGTCAGAAGCCTTCAGAATGTTTGAAAGATATGCCAGAGAAACCCACATCTGCACTTCAAAGGAAACAGTGAGCACAGAACTGAAGGAGGCTTGTTATACTTGTGCCGCCCTACCTCCACCACCCCTAGCCCCACCCTTAACCCAATGTGGTTAGCTGCACAGTGGGGAAGATGGAAGAAGTGTGTGTGTGTTTGTCTGTGTGTCTCAGTATGTGTCCATACGCATGCATGCGTGTGTGTGCCGTGTAATTCCAGAGACTCCCAACCCCTCCTACGCTTTTCCTCTTTCTCAGATGAGGTTTTTCTTTTATTTATTTATTTATTTATTCTCCTAAACACTGGATTGTGGACTCACTCTGTTTCCATATTGCTAACCACAGCATTCCCCAAACATGATGGAATCTTTGTTTTAGAGTTTTCAAAGGTTTTTTTTTCCTCTAT